TTTGGGGTTCATTTCACCTAACATCAACTTATCTGACCATTTCTGCTTGTCTCAGACATATACTAGTTATTGCAAATAAGGGAAACCATGGGACCTATTTTTCTTTGGGCTTGGCTTACTTCACTTAATATATTTTTTTCCAAGTCTTTCCATGTCCTAACAAATAGGACAATGTCATTCTTTCTGATGGAGGCATAGAATTCCACTGTGTATATATATCACATTTTCTTGATCCATTCATCTACTGAAGGGCATCTTGGTTGGTTCCATATCTTAGCTATGGTAAATAATTCTGCAATACACATTGTGGCCGGAGATGTTCAGCATTTCTTCATGTGTCTTTTGGCCATTCTTATTTACTCTTCAGAGAAGTCCCTCTTTAAGCCTTTAGCCCATTTATTAATGGGCTGATTGTTTCCTTGAAAATTTGTTTTTGTGGGTTTAATTTTTTGGGTTCTAAGTATATTTTAGATACTTGTCTGTTGTATGTCTAGTGAAGATCCTTTCCCAATCTGTGGACTTTCTATGTCCTTGGCCATGCAGAAGTTCTGCAGTTTAATGCAATCCCATTTGTCCAACTTTTCCTTTGATTTGTTGTGTTTCTGGGTCTTTATTAAGAAAATTTTGACCTGTGCCAAGGAGCCCTAGAGTTTCTCCTATTACTCTCTGTATTGTTTTCAGGGTATTTGCTTTTACCTCAAGGTCTTTAGTCCTTGGAATTTGGAATTGATTCTGGTGCAGGGTTATATATAAGAATCTAGCTTTAGTTTCCTACAAGTGTGTAACTAATTTTAGCACCATTTGTTGAAAAGGCTGTCTTTCTTCCATCCTATTTTTTGGCTCCCTTATTGAAGATTAGGTGGTCATAGGTCAGCAGGTTCATTTCTGGGCCTTCAGTCTAGTCCATTAGTCTTCAGGCCTGTCCTTGTGCCAGTACCAAGTAATTTTTATTACTATAGCTTTGTAATAGAGTTTGCAGTTTGATACTGATATTCCTCCAGCACCATTCTTTCTATTAAGAATTTTTTTTGCTTTTCAGGGTCTTTTATTATTTCATATGAATTTTTGAATTGCTTTCTCTATTAAAGAATGATGAACATTCCTCAATTTAATAAAGGCTGTTATGACAAACCTACAACTAGCATTATACTTACTGGCAAAAAGCTAAATTCAGGCCTACAGAGTGGGGATGGGCTTCAGAAGGGATGTGATCCCAATGGGTATGGGGGGACATTATCCTTGAAGGCTTTCAGGAAGCTCAGGTTTTTCCACTGGCAGTCAAGGTTGAAGAGTATGTAAGGTCCTAGTGCCCAACAAGTATCAGTCCCAGTGGTCTTCAGGTGGAAGCAGACAGGGGAGGGGATGATAAGGAAGGCTTCTTGTCTCTTTTCCCCCTTCAAGCATAGTGTCCCTTCTCTGGGGAAAGGGATAGTTCTGGATTACCAGCAGTATTGGTCTCCCATGGGAGGGGACCCTCCAGAATATACTCATAGTTACTGATGTTGATTCTGGGCTGACCAGCAGTGCTATAAAAGTTTTCTGCCTATGGTTGCTGCAGTCTCATGTTGTTGATCTGTATCACTGTGTGCACTTGTTGAGGACCTCAGAGCTATGAAAGTTTTGTGCATCTGGGTGCTGCAGACTCAAGTTGATCTGTGTCACTGTGTGTACTGATTAGGGTCCTGGGATTGTGGAAGATTTCTGCATCTGGATGCTGCAATCTTGTATTCCTGATCGGTGCCACTAGGAGCACTGGTCCAGATCCCAGGCAGCCTAGGGGGCACTCTAGTTTTGGTAAATCATCTCTATTTGAAATTTAGCCTCAATCTGCATTTAATATTACCATTTCTAATTAATATAGTAGCTTTGCTCTAATGTCATCTCCAATTTCTTTTCCATATGTTTAAACAAATGTCTGCCTTTCTACCATTGTAATTCATTAATATTTTTGTTCTTAACAAAGTTCAGTATGTTAATATGCTAATGGAGTATGTTCTGTTCAATAGTTATACATTACTATTTGCAAAATTGCCTTTTACAATAGTCTTGAGTCCCTTTGGTTTCATCTTTCCCTTTCTCCACACTGTCCTTAGAATTCTAGGAATGGCTGGTTGCATTCTATGAAAATTCTCCTAAATTTAGTCTCACAATGAATTGAATTTATGGACTAATATTTGATGAAAGTATTGAGGCAAAATAGTAATGATTTTCTCAACCATGATTGGAAATATTTTTCAATTTATACTTCCTTAATTAACCATTAAATTATAAATATTACATTTATTAAATATACATATATAATATCTCCTTGTTCTATTATAATGTATTAAGATAGGCTAATAGCCTGAAATTTTTATCTCCAACAATTCAAATAAATTATTAAGAAAACTATATTTCAAACAATTTATTGGATTCTAGTTTATAGAATTACATAACTATCACATATGGTCACATATGGCAATTCTTTCTATTCTCTCCTATTCATCCTTTCCTCTTTCTTCTGTTTTATATTGCTTATACTATGATTAAATATGCAATTGTGAGTTTTTATTACTTTTACTCATATGGGAATATAACTATTATTTAGCCAAAAAGATGTGTGAATGTTGCCTTTTGAGGTGGTTTTATTTAGCATTTATTTATTTTTAGTATAAGAAATCCTTATATTTGAAACATCTTCAATATTTTTATGATGATATGACTAAACTGCTTCTAATGAATTTATTTTTTATATTTCTTCTTGATTTTAGAAATTTTATTAATACAGTTGAATGTGTATTGCTCTGTAAGACACCGAATCCTCATTTTTTGATTTACTTTATGAGGCTACTGGGAGAATATTTTATTTTAGTCCTATGTATATTTTTTATGGTGGGTCTTGGGACTTGAACGTCCATTTTTCTAGTGGTTTACTGGAGATAAGAGTCTCACACACTTTCCTGCCTGGGCTGGCTTTAAACTGTGATCCTCAGATCTCAGCCTCCTGAGTAGGTAAGATTAGGTGTGAGCCACTGGTGCCTGGTTCCCATGTATCATTTTTTCTACCAGTTCTGTGTCTTGAAAACTGGGCCTGGGTACTGTCACTGATATTGTGTCTTAAGGCTAGCAGTTTTCCATTTGAGCCACAGCTCTACTTGCAGATTTTTAGTTGTTTTCTGGAGATGAGACTATCATGGACCTTCCTGCCCAGGCTGGCTTTAAACAGTGATTCTCAGGGCTAGGAAGGTGGCTCAGTGGTAGAGTGCTTGCCTTGCATGCATGAGGTCCTGGGCTCAATTCCTCAGCACCACATAAGCAGAAAAGGCCAGAAGTGGCGCTATGGCTCAAGTTGTAGAGTTCTAGCCTTGAATTGAAGAGCTGATGAACAGCACCCAGGCCCAGAGTTCAGGCCCCATGACCGACAAAACACACACACACACACACACACACACACACACACACAAAACTGTGATTCTCAATTCTCAGTCTCCTGAGTAGATAGCAGTACAGGCCTGAGCCACCAGCCACCAGCTCTTGCAAAATGTTTAAATGTTCCACTCAGTTGTATTCCTTTCTAGTTTCTTTTTTGCAATTTTAAATGAACTAACACAATATTTACACTCTGAAATATAGGGGTGAAGAGAAGGTAGGCGTGGGTGGATACATTGAAGGAAGTAAGGATGGAAGGATGGATGGATGGATGGATGGATGGATGGATGGATGGATGGATGGATAGATAGGAGGCAGGGAAATGGTTAATGGCAGTGAGAGTTCATGGTTAAATGGATGAGGGACATAGGCAAGGAGAGGAAGGGAAAAAGGAAAATGTAGCAAGACAAAATTTTTATCTAATTGTTTTTCAAAAGGCCCCACAAAGAGCTCTCCTTAAGCCTCCCCTCAATCTACCTTCATGACCCCATGACTGAAATAAATTCTTACTTAGAACTTGAACTTTCTCATTCATCTCTATTTTCTGTACCTGTCATGATTTTTATTCTATTTCAGTCACTAAATTGAATAGTTAATTGACTTTCTCTTACCAAACATAAATGTAAGAAATTTGAATGTTTCTGGTACATACTTTCTTAGCACACTAAGTACTACAGACTCTGGGACTTGATTTCTTGAAATATTTTATGAAACATCTGGCAAGTGGTTAGTAACCAGAATATAGAGGATGCTCTAAACACTAAACTCCTAAAGAATGAACAAGCCAATTAACAAAATGGGAAATAAACTCAGACATTTCTCAATATCACAAGTATAAATGGCTAATGGAAATAGACAAAGAGATGCTCAACACCCTTGGCATAAAGGAAATACAAAGACAAGGATATTGAATTTTATCTTACTCCAGTGACAGTGCTTATCATTAAGATGACAAATAACAAATGCTGGTAAGAATGTAAGGGAACACTTACATAGGATTTTTGAGAATGTGATTTCATGCACCCACTATGGAACTTGGTATATAAGTTCCTCAAGAAACTATAAATTTGTAATATGAACCAGTGCCCCCACCTTGTGAGATTGGGGCATGTTGCATGCATACATGTAAGTCTAAACAAACTCCCTGTCCAGCTAACATATGCTACTAAGATTTTTTAAACTTAAGTGATAAAATTCTACATAATTTAATGAGTTTAGAAGTATAAAAGACCAGTGAAAACTTCATTCCATTGTTTTCCTCCTGCATTTTTAAAGTAAACATGTTGTTCAGTCCTTTTTTTTACTGTGATGAGTATTTTTTGATATTCAGTGCATGATTATGAGCAAGTATACCGTAATGTAGATCCAACCCTACAGCCTTTTACAGAGTACATTCACTACCCTGAAGTATCTCTGTCCTCCAGGGCCACTGAGGTCTCTGCATGGAATTTGGTTCTAATATAATTTCACAAGTAGAAAACATAGCATTGGTTTCGATATTGGTTTAGGTTTGTGATAGAGAAGAATTTCCTCTATTACCACGCTTTCAGACCAGTGAATCATGAAAATGTCTTGATCTATGTTAAGTAAAAATGGCCTATTTGAAAGTGAAAGTTGAGACTGCAAATGTGCAACTCAATTTTTGCATTGACATTGATTTATTGACATGCAATTTCTGGTTTCAGCATGATCATTGCTTCCTTAGGCAACAGAAAATAAGTGCATTTGTTGAGGTCTCTGCAATTGGAATTCTTATTGAAACCTGCCGAACTCAAGCAGCAATGTTCTATGGCTGTTATGGACATTGGGTGTATGAACTGACCCTCTGGGTGGGAACGCCCTAATAACTTTGGTAGACACCTCACTGGCAAGGCCTTTTACTGGCCATTTCACCACACACCTGATGTGGCATCCTCTGATGCAATCCAGTTACATCATCCCAAATGAATTTCATCTAAATATTTTCTTGGCACAGACATTGAACCAAATATATCAAACATAATATTATTCCCCGGGCCTATCTGTGGTCTTGGATGAAATCATAGCTCCTGGAGTGAAGGAGAATCTGCAAACATGTTTTTTAATTCATATTTATCTTCTGGATAAGGCCTCAGATGCAAAGCCCCAGGAAAGTTTTACACATTCCTCCTGGGGAATCACAAGAGGTTCTGATGAAAGCAAGTCTACAGTACACATCTCTGTCAATAAAAAGACACATATGAACATATACAAAAATATATGGAATATATGTACCTGACATTGTGGGCCTCACTTCTGGCCAAAATTTAGCTTGGCAGATGCTTTAGGGATGTGTCCTTTGACTTTCACACTCCTTCTCCAGCTTCCTCTCTTTGTCAGGTCTTTGGCTGGCACTAGCTGCTTTTCCAGAATGAAACAGAGAGCACACATGGATGGAGATGTGATGATTGCTGGGTTTTTCCCTCTCTATGCTTTGGGAACAGATCGTAGTAAAAGTGATGCTTCCAACCATGAAGACTACAAACCGTAAGTAACTCCTCATCATTTTATTTCCATTCCTGTTTTGTTCTCAAAATAGGCAATGGCTGAGGGAAGTCAGGTTGCGCACATAAATGCTCTCGCATCCTCTACCCTGAGCTCCCATCTCCTACTGCACCACAAACAACTCAGCTTCATTACTTTATTTTGCATCTACTGTTGAGTGATCCTCTGCCTGCCAGTAAGAGAAAACTCCATTTTCCTTCCAATTAGCTTCTCCTTTCTAGGGCTGTAAGTTCTTCCCTTTACTCCAGCAGCCCTGCATCTCCTTCAGCCCAACTGTCATTGCAGAAGAAGAACATGTCCGTGGAACAAGTTCTGGAAAAGGCTGCAGGAACATTTCTTTACCCCTATGCCAGTGGCCTGAGAATTTTCCTTTAGGAACACCTATATTTTAAAGACATAAAAATTCTTGGAGGCTTGTGGCTCATGCCTGTAATCTTAACTAACTACTCCAAGGGGCTGATATCTAAGGATTGAGGTCTGATGCCAACCTGGGCAGGAAAATCCATGAGACTTTTATCTCCAGTTAGCCAGCCAAAAGATGGAAGTGGTGCTAGTCCTGAGTGAAAAAATCTCAAGGACAGTGTCCAGATCCTGAATGCAAGCCCTAGGACTGCTGCATGCAGGCCTGCACATGCACACACATGCTCACAAATACACACAAACACTATAGACAAGTAGTTACTCTTTCAAACTAAGCCCTGTGTTCATGCCATATATGCTCCATAATCTGGCTGTTAGCAGACAGAATAGTTTTATCAAACACCCCTTATGGGAGAATTTTATCTACCCAAGACAAGTTCTGCTTCACTTGTGCACATGAATATCCTTGGGTTTTGGTCTATAGCAGAGGTGCCAATAATAAATGGTTATATAAAAGAATAAAAAAGAAAAATGGCTACACAGAACTTCAAGTATACCTATTGCAAGAGAAAATGTCATTGCTCTTATCATGTCCATTCTTTTTTAAATGCTGATGTGACAAATGTAGCCTGAGTTAGCAGCCTTAGTTGGAAGCAGAGATGGCAGGGATAAGAATTACTCTCTTTCCTGCTACAGAAGGCATATGTCCTTAAGATATATATCACTGGCTTATCTTTCTTTGTTTTGTACAGGTCCTGTGAATTCAGGCCTAGGCGCTGTCCCTGAGCTTTTTTACTTAAGGCTAGTGCTCTAACACTTCAGCCATAGCTCCACTTCTGACATTTTTTGGTGAATATAGATAAGAGTATAATAGATACCACTGACCAAGCTGGCTTTGAAACATGATCCTCAGATCTCAGCCTCTTGAGTAGACAAGACAGGCAGGAGCAACCAGTGCCTGGCTTAACTTCTTTTTCTTATGCCTCACTAGTTAGCCACGTTTAACTGACTTTTCTTCATTTCCCAATATACATCTGAGCACTTTTACTAGTGTGCTAATACAGACACAATGAATAGTTTAAGCTGATGGGTATTTCTTTGCTACCTACAGATATGAAGAGAAGTCTGGTACAGGTTAGTTTTATGCATGGTATTGACTACAGAGAGCAATTCTTTTTTAAAATATTTATTGTAAATAAAATTGTACAGAGGGGTTATAGTTATATGAGTAAAGTTATGAGTACATTTTCTATCGAGTATTGTTACCCCCTCCTTTTTTTCCCCTACCATCCCCTCCCTCCCAACCTCCCCACAATCTCCCCCACTCAAGTTGTAAAGTTTATTTTCAACATAATGTCTTGTATGTCTCATTGTTACAATGGGTCAACCTGTATTGTTTTAGCGTTTTGTTACTACCTTCCCCTCCCCAAATTAGAAAAAAGTATATACAAGATGCAGGGCACCAGAATTAAATACAGTGACAACAGGAGTTACACCATAGGGAAAGAACATAGAAAAAAATCACATAGTACAAAGTAAAAAACCTCCTATCCCTGTCTTGAGGATCATTTATATGATCATCTTGTATGGTCATACATACGTAGCTGTTGACCTTTTCTGTTTGTCTGGTAGGATTATCTTAGATGTATACTAGTTATTGCAAATTATGAAAACCATGGAACCTGTGTTTACAGAAAACAATTCTTATTCACAAGGTCTTTTATAGATAAATGGACCACTGCCATTAGACATCAGTGATTTGATTCAACTCTATACCCACAGATATTATAGCAATGTTTCCCAATTTTATACAATATGGGACTTGTGCCAAGTATGATTCATATTGTAGTTCAACACTGTATGCTTTTTGATGTCACCTCCTATATTTATGACCATTTTTTATATCTTGTCCCACATCCTTTTTTCTCTCTCATATCTCTAATATTTTTTGTTCATTTTTAGCTTGCTGAGGTAGCTAGTGTTATAGGCATGAGCCACCAATGCTTGGCTAGTTTTGTACTCGAATAGCTTTTGTTTTCAGGGTTGATGTTCCACTTGAGCCACATCTCATATTTAGGTGGCACATCTAGCTGCCTTTTCTGTCCTAGCTGCCTTTGACTAGAGATCATTAGATCTCAGCCTCCTCATCAGCTAGGATTACAGACATGAGCCAGAAGCACGGGTAGTTTTAATTTCTTGAACTATCTCCAATTGTTTTTTTTTTATATATCATCACCAAAACTGCATTTTTTTTCTGGTTGATGGATAACTCATTGGAGCTTTGATTTGTATTGCCCCAAGTTCTCAAATGGTTGAACATATCTTCTGTAGTCACTTTCCATTTGTACTTCACAATTTTTAAAGTGTCTGCTTTTATGTCTGTTCTTTAGTTGGGTTGTTTTCCTACTGGTGTTTCAATTTTACAATTATTTTACACTACGCTACTAATCTTGTGTGAGAGGAAGAGCTAGCAAGATTTTCAACCTTTGCTTGGCTGTCAAACTATTCCTTTCATTGAGCTGAAGCTTTTCAATTTGATGGAACCACAGCTACGTTACCTTTCCAGTACTGGGGGTGGAGCTTAGGGCTTATGAATGAGGCAAAGATTCTACAATTTAGCCAAATGCAGAGCTTAATTCCTGTTATTATTTTATGAGTTCTTTACTTTCTATTAAAAGTTACCTGTTTCTATGTTTCCCCTCATTTTCTCTTACTGCTTGCAAAGTTTCAGTCTCTTATTAATAACTGACCAGTTTTGAGGGTTTTTTTTAAGAATACAGGTTGATAACTAGGGCATAGTTTCAGTGTTTGACACATGAACATGAATACCCAGTTTCACAGTGCCACCCCTTACTAAGGGTGACATCTTTGGTCCACATATTATATGGCAACTTCTCCAAGATTCAGATATCTTTAGTTGTTTCCAAATATTTCTTGGTCTTTTATCTCATGCATTGATGTGTTTTATCACAACAATTGTTCTTCTGCTACTATGGCTCTGTAATATAATAGAAAAAAGTATAGTGCTACTCCAGTATTTTTCTTGCATCTTAAGAGCCCTGGCTAACTAAGGATTTTCTTTTCTATAAAATTTAGTCTTGCCTGTTCTATTTCTGTGAAGGAATTGATAGGAATTTTGATGAAAAGTGCACCGAATTTGTAGATGGTTTTCAGTAATATGGCTATTTTTACCATATTGATTCTGCTTATCCAGAATAAATGGGAGTTATGTGTTCATATGTGTAATTTTGTTGATTTTCCCTTTGATTTTTCATGATTTTCACTTGAGCCTTATCACTTTTGTATGGAACCTCTCTTTTACTATTGCTACTGTGGTTTATTATCTAAATTGTTTTCTTCTACTTTAATCATTCCTTTTACTAATTTTGGGTCTGTTTAGTTCTTTGAGATGCAGTGTAGGTTCTTTAGTATCTATACTCTTGATTTTCAAAAAGTGTTACAGTTTCCTTTTATTGCTTTTTCTGTATCTTTAGATTCTGATAAATTTTCATTTTCATTTGTTTCAAGAATCATTTTAAAATTTGCCTTAAAAGATAATTCATTTCAATGCATATTAATCATTTAAACTGAATGCACTTATTTATAAAATTATTTAAGTAATTAAGGTTGAAAAACAATTCCTTTAATTTTCATGTTATGTGAATGTTTTCCTGTTTTCCTTGTTATTATTTAGCCTTACTATAGTATGATCTACATGTGTGCTCAATACACTTTCAATATTTTTAAAATCTGGCTGGATTTGCTTGCTAACCCATGATCTCTCCTGGATGGCATTCAGAATGCTTATGACAAATACAGTTAGTGTATGTGAGCCTCACCTGATCAAAGGTGAAATTTAACTCTGATACCTTCCTGTAGATCTTGTCTGATCTCTACATAAAATCTTCAGCTATTATTGTATTTAGGACTATGAAAAAGTCTGTTAATATAGTTAAGTGCTTGGATAGTGTGTAAATAAATATATACTTGGAATTTCTATGTCATCCTGTAGATTTGATCACTTCATCAGTACATTACAAACTTGTCATTTTCCTTGCTTTGATTAAAGTCTATTTGGTGTAATGTGCTATGGATACTCCTGCTTTCTTTTGGCCTTAATTTGCATATACTACCTCATTCCACTCCTTTCTTACAGTCATTGGGGGTCATTAATACTAAAGTGAGTTTCTTGGAATCAACATATCATTTGGAGTTTTTATTCATTCAACCACTCTATCTCTTACTGGTAGAATTTCCTGCCTTCCCATTCCCAATCATTGTTCACCGATCACTTCTCATTACTGCCATTATGTAACTTCTTCTCCAAGTCTATTAAGGCCTCTTCCACTCTTTCTCTCCTTCTAAAGTCTTCAGTGTTTGTTGTTGAGTTCAATTGTAATGTGTTTTGATTTCTGGATTATGAGTTTTCATTTGTCAGTTACAGATTTTTGGAAGCTTAAAATAGATGACAGTAAGCTATTTTGAAATGATGACAACTATCCCTGATCATAAGGATGAAAGTAAAAGAGAAAATACACATACAGAGCTATGATCATAGTCATAAGAGAATGTACAGAAATGATATAATGAAATCTTTCATTTAAAATTGTAATGAAACATTTCAGTTACTATTTCAACATAAAATAGTAAAGACACACAAATAAAAACTGCAACAGCACTGTAATCCTCCCACCATTTGTACTATTTTATAACAATTTTTACATTGTTCTATAGTAATTGCTAGACAAAGATACAATAATTTTCCCTCTTTATATGAATTATGTGTATGTTTGACTAGCACATTTATGTTAGAACATTGTCAGCTCACATGTGTAGACACTTTTACCAGTAAGTTTTATACATTCTTGTACATTTTTCTTTTGCATTAATGGTTCTGTCTTTTGGACTAAAAGGCATACTTTAGTATTTCTTGTAGAATAGGTCTGGTGGAGACATATTCTCTTAACTGTGCTTCTCCAGGAACCTTTTAATTCTTTCTTCATTTCTAAATGGTATCTTTGATAGGAATAGAATTCTTAATTTATACATTTTTTAATCTTCTGTAAGATCTCCTACCATGCCATTGGAGTCTATGGATTCTGCTGAGGAATAAACTATTAGTGAAACATGAATACACCTATGTTTTATTGGGTTCCCTTTACCTTCTAGTATAAACAATCTTCTCTATATATACTTCACTTGTGAGACCTTAATCATAAGACAGCTTTCTGTAGAGATCATGGTAAAACTTGATTAACCTTTCATCTTTAGATATTTTCCATTTCTATCCTTGTCTATATTATGAAATTTTAATTCTGACATTACTAGAACAAGCATTTGAACTTTCTGGCATTCTCAAACATTTACTGAATCCACAAAACACTATTTGCCTTTTAAAAAATACTTTCAACTTTTGAAATTTTTTTTCACATGTCTTCATTTAGTTCCTTCAGTTTCTTGATTCAGTTTACTCCTCCATACATGTGTGTTCAATCAGATTTTCTTCAAGCTCTAACTTCACTAAAATATTAGGCTTCCATTGTGACACTTCCATAAATGCATAAAGTATATGTTGAACAGGTTGGTCCTCTGATTTGTATATCCATCTTATCTCCATTGTTTCCTTTTAAACAATGTGTGGTTTCATTAATTTCTTTAGAATGTGCTCTCTCTCTCTCTCTGTCTCTCTGTCTGTCTGTCTCTCTCTCTCTGTCTCTCTCTCTCTCTGTCTCTCTCTCTCTCTGTCTCTCTCTCTCTCTCTCTCACACACACACACACACACACTTTCACATACAGGGGATGACAGAAAAAAGTAATTGAATCATCTATTTCGCTGTATTCTTTCATTTTTGGTACCTCAATCTAAATATATTGGGAAGAGTAGTGATCATTATTTTACCATGGTGTCCTTGGAACTAGGATTTCAATGTAAAGCTTAAAATTCTCATCTATCTTGCTGAAGGTTCCTCTCACCATACTGAGTCCTTAGAGTTGTATTCATCCCTTTAGTTATGCAATTAAGAATATAATCCCTTCACTTGATGTTTGAGCTCTTGTTATGGTTGATATTGCAGGATGAATTGTTTAATATGTTAGATCTGTAAGCAGAGCTTCGGTAGAATGTTCCTTAAATGGCACTTTGCTTCTGAAAGTTTGTCTTAAATGATATGTTTGATAGCTAGACTGGCCTGTCATATAACCACATAACATAAGGTGGGTGGCTCAAAACACAAGGCTTATTTTTAACATAGGTGGATCTAGTGACTGCAAGATAAATGCAACAAAATTATTTGTTGTCTCATGAAACCCTATTACATGTTTAATGAACAAAAGCTTTTTGGTATGGTGCATGCAGTAGCAGGGAAAGCAAGTTCTTTCTCAGCTTAAATATGCTGAGTCTCATTCATGACAAGTTCCCCTGATGTACTTACACAATCCTATGTACAAACATCAAACATTAAATTCACATTGCATCTCAATTGGAGGCAATATTTTAATATATTACTTAGGAGAGAATAAAGAATTCAATCCAAGGTATTTTCACAATAAAAAAAAAGAATTCAATCCATCGAAGTTGTAAGTTTTGAAATACTCCTCTTCAATTTCTATGCTAATTATGCAGGATCTTCAAGAACTACCAGTTTGTTTTGGCCTTAGCTTTTGCTATTGAGGAGATCAACAAAAACCCTAATCTTTTACATAACTTAACTCTGGGATTTGATATCTTTGATTTTTACTTCGGAGCGTGGACAGTATTTAAGAATCCCTTCATTTGGCTTTTTGGGAAGGACAAGATTCCAAACTACTCCTGTATGAGAGACAGCAAATCTATAGCAGTACTTACAGGACCATCAGGAAAATCATCTGCCCAGATTGGGACACTGCTGGAACTCTACAGATTCCTCCAGGTGAGGGTGAGAGGAGTGGAGGGATATAAAATAATGTCTAATCTGGTGTCATGTTAAATATCAGAAGAGTATGAGAGGAAAAGATTGATTTATCAACATATCAAATTTTGTGGTATCAAAGAGTAAGTATTCAAAGATAGTGGAATATCTATATCTCCAGTGTTTGAAAAAGGGCACAGAAAAATTAGAGCAGAAAAAGGGATTATTTGGAGTTTGGGGCTTTATCAATAAAAATGAAGAAATGGAAAATGATTTTAACATGTGAAGGTATGTTGACTTGAGTGCTGGTAGGTACATGTATAATCTAGCTACTCATGAAACTTTTATCTCCAATTAAGCAGCAAAAACCAGAAAGTGAATATGTAGCTCAAGTGTAAGAGTGACATCCTTGAGGGAAATAGCCAAGGAATTGCATGACTGCCTTGCATACGTGTGTGTGTGTGTGTGTGTGTGTGTGTGTGTGTGTATGTGTATGTGTACGTATGCACACACACACAACAGACACATACATAATAATGTTGAAGGAAGCAAGTCAGGCTCAAAAAGAAAAAGGGGGTATGTGTCCTCTTATATGTGAACATTAGATCTAAAACATGATCATGAAATATGAAATATATGGAACATATGTATACCCATTTACATATATGTATTACCAGTCTGACAATAAACACAAGATAATATTGGATGTACATGGTGAAAATGGAATTAGGAAAGCCAGAAAAAGGAGTGAGGTTGATATAGATGTAAGGAATTGATGGAAATAGTGGCAAATAAATCAATGTATAACTACTTACAATTTAAAATTTTAATTTTTTTCAAAAATGAAAACAAAGGCTGGGAAGTTAGCTCAGTGGTAGGCCTGCTGGCCTCGCATATATGAGGCCATGGGTTCAATTCCTCAGCACCACATAAACTGAAAGAAGCCAGAAGTGGTGCTGTGGCTCAAATGGTAGGGCGCTATCCTTGAGCTGAAGAACTGAGGGACAGCACCCAGGCCCAGAGTTCAGGCCCCACAACCAACAAAACAGAAGAAGAAGAAGAAAGGAAACAAAAACCTAATTTCTCTCTACTTCAACTGGATGGATGGCAATTTTCACATTCATAAAGTGTCCGCATTTCTTTCCCTGTAGTTTACCTTTGGGCCTTTTGATCATGCCCTGAGTGACCATAACAAGTTTCCTGATCTCTATCAGATGGCCCCAAAGGACAAATTGGTGGCCACTGCTATGGTCTCTTTACTGCTTCACTTCAGCTGGAACTGGGTAGGACTGTTGACCTCAGATGATGAGAATGGTTTGTGGATCCTTCCTGAATTGAAAGAAGAGATGGCCAAGAATACAGTTTGTGTAGCCTTTGATCTAGTGATTCCAAATCATTCCATGTCACATATATTAAAAATCGTAGCAGTATATAACCAGATTAACAAATCCGCAGCAAATGTCATCATCATCTATGGTGACAGTGAATCTCTACTAGATTTAATGATGTGTGTTGAGCAAATTTTAATTACAGGCAAAGTTTGTATCATGAACTCACAGTGGCATTTAAAAATGAAAAGGAAATATTTCATGCTAGGTTCCTTCCATATACCTTTCATTTTTTCACATCACTATGCAGACAGTATTGGATTCACAAATTTTATACGGAAAGTTAACCCTTCCAAATACCCAGAAGACTTTTACCTTGCCAGGTTATGGTTTCTCTCTTTTAATTGTTCCCATTCTGAGTCTGACTGTGTGATATGGGAGAACTGTCCACAAGATGCCTCCTTGGAATGGTTGCCTGGACACATTTTCGACATGGCCATGTCTGAAGAGAGTTACAATATATACAATGCTGTGTATGCTGTGGCCCAGGCCCTCCACAAGATGCTCCTTCATCAAACAGAAATGCCATTCATGGGATATGGGAAAGGGATGGCACCTTCCCTTGCACAGGTAATGCTTCTGTATTGGATCCCAAACATCATGGGAAAGTTACTTTGTAATAGTGTTTTTCAAGGATGAAATGAAGTATTTAAAATACTTTTTTTAAATCAAAGAGAAACTATATTTGTTTTAATGTCTGTAAGGTACTCTAGACCTGTGTCCATGTTCTTTCAAAGGAAAACACACCTAAGAAAAAAATACAATTGAAATGAAAGAAAAACAGGTCACTGGAAGGAAGAAGTATGTTTCATGTTTTAATCAATTATTTTTGCTATGATCTCTCAACCTGCTCATGGCTAAAGTTCTCAATATTGTAAACCCAGTTTCTCCCTCCAAGTTTAATAGCAAAATATGACCTGTTATTTAAGTTCCTAAACCCTGATGAATAAACATTTCATAAATAATCCTGATTAATGCCACTTTAGGTAATGCAGCAAACTGAAAAATCCCTGAACACTCATAACATGAATAGCTGTGGCAACTGTAGCTAGGCAACTTAAGAGAATCTCACTCAAGTCTATTTAGGTTCATATAGTTTCTCTTGAAAATGGGTGTTTGGACCCTACCCATTATGACCTGGTTTCTGATATATTATTCTATTGTATTTCCCCATTGACTTTTTTTAATCTCAAAAATTTTATTGTAAAGGTGAGAACAAAGGAGAATATTCTTAGGAGAGGATCACATGGGCTAAATTGCTATGTGAATATGATCATATAACATGATGCTTATCAAAATGAACTCGAAGAAATGAAAACAAGTTCTTGTTTTTTGCTTTTTTTTTTACTGTACTGTTCCACATAGACTTTCTATTGTTCTATTTGTGGTGTGTTTTACCACAGACATTCATTTGTCACACTTTTTTAATTGTTATTGTAAAGGTGATGTACAGAGGGGTTAGAATTACATATACCAGGTAATGAGTACATTTATTTTTGACACTGTCACCTCTTCCCTCATTTTCTCCCAGTTTTTCCTTCCAGACACCCCTCCCCTACAAGTTGTACAGTTTCTTCAACATGCTCTCCAGTGAGTTTATCCTTTGTCCCACCATTTCTGTGATCCCCATATCGTTCTTCAACAGATAAACTTACAAAAGGTACAGAAATCAAAAACAATGACAAAGGCGAAAAAAATACCAAAGCTGAAACAACAAAAAAATTACTTTTTTGGAGTTCATTTTGATAAATATCTTTTTATATGATCATATGCACATAGCTATTGAGCTTTTATGATCCTCTCCTATGAATAACCTCCTTTACTCTGTGTCAATGTCTACAGTCTTGTATAATTTATCATGTCCAAATGTGTTTTTTGTCTTTTACCATCCATTGTGTTTACTTGTCGATTTATAGGCACATTTTTGCTATAAAAAATTAAGGAATCCACACAATCTGTTTTTTTGTGTCTGGCTTACTTTGCTTAATATATTTTTTCCAAGTCTTTCCATTTCCTTATGAATGGTATAGTATCATTCTTTCTAATGGAAGTATAGAATTCATATATATATATATATATGTGTGTGTGTGTGTGTGTGTGTGTGTGTGTGTGTGTGTGTGTGTGTATGTATGTGCATCATATTTTCTTTATCCATTCATCCATTGAGGATCGTCTAGGCTGATTCCATATCTGGGCTATGGCAAAGACTGGATTGTTTGTGGTCTATTAGATAAATGCCCAGGAATGGAATTGCTGGCTTATAGGGAAGCTCTATGTTCAGTTTATTGAGGAACCTCCATATTGCTGAATGGTTGAACATGCTTATATTCCCTTTTGGTGAAATCCCCATTAACATGTTATTGTTAATTTTCTTGATTATAGCCATTCTAACTGGGGTGAGGAAGAATTCAATGTTATTTTCATTTGCATTTCTTTTATGGCCAGATATGTTGAACATTTCTTCTTGTGTCTACTGGTCATTCTTGACCCCTCTTCTGAAAAGTCTCTAAGTCTTAAGCCAATTTATTAGTTAGGTTGTTGTTTCTTGAGAGTTTATTTTGGGAGGATTACTTTTTGAGCTTTAAGTATATTTTAGATATGAGGCTCTTTTCTGATGCATAACTAGAAAATATATTCTTCCATTTGGAGGGCTTTCTACGTATCTTTCTAGCTATCTACTTTGCCATGCAGAAACTCTTCAGTTTGATGCAGTCCCATTTATCTATATACTTGCTTTTGTTCCACTGGTTTGCTATCTGTTCATCTTGAGTTATAAAGCAAGGATTAAAGATAATAAGGGGTGGCTGAGAAGGTGGCTCAGTGGTATAGAGTCCTTGCCTTGCATGCATGAGGCCATGGGTTCAATTCCTCAGCACCACATAAGCACAAAAGCTGGAAGTGGCACTGTGGTTCGAGTGGTAGAGCACTAGCCTTGAACTGAAGATCTGAGGGACAGCGCCCAACCCCAGAGTTCAGGCCCCATGACCAGCAAAAAATAAATAAATAAATAAGGGGCTTTGTTTCATTCAGGTTTTCTCTCAAGTTTTGAGTTCACTTCAACATAAGATATGTATCTCTTTCAGCTGCACCCTTTTCTGAAGAAAATCCCATTGAAGAATCCTGCCGAAGAAAAAGTGATTGTGGATGATAAAAGAAAATTAGAGCCAGAGTATGACATTATAAACATCTGGAATTTTCCAGAAGGCCTTGAATTTAAGGTGAAAGTAGGGAAGTTTTCTCCATATGCTCAAGATGGTCATCAGCTATCTTTGTCTGAAGATATAATAGAGTGGGCCATTGGAACTACAGAGGTGGGTTGTGTCTAAGTGTCATGATTTGAGCTACAAAGAAGTAATAAAAAATAGTCCCTGGATTTTATGTTTATGTGGTTCACTAATGCCCTCACAATATATATTTAATTATTTTCAACTTGAAAGAAATTTTATTTATTGACTTTTGAACAAAAAAAGGCACAAAGTAACTTCACTTGTTCAAAAATGATTTTTTCTTATCATAAACATAAATGACAGCTGTTATAGCAATTTTCTAACACTCGGACAAAATAACTGAGGAATCAATTCTTGAGGATGAAAGGTCTATTTTGCTCATTTCTGTGCTTGTTTCATCAATGCTTAGTTGACCTGTAACTTAGGCATCTATGGTGACAAGAATCATTGAAGAAGCCTGTGTGAGAAGATCCTTATATCATGGAAATTGGAAAAGAGAGAAAGATATGATAGGGTTGTTTTATCTTATAGCATACTTTAAAAGCTTCAGAGAGGATTCTTTCTCCTTGCTCTCCACCATGTTACAGATGAGTAAGAGACAACATATCACGGTATGAATTCAAAGTAGTTCCATAGGGCCGGTCAGTAGAACTTACTTTCTCACCATCTATCTCTACCTTATAAAGGTGCTACACTTCTCAATAGTTCAATAGGCTAGAAATTAAGGCTATAGCACACAAGCCTTTGGTAATCACATGATGTGGAATCTATAACATCATTCAATTAACTGACTGGACTTATGTTCATAGAAATATTATGTCTAATAATCCAATTATTTAACACAACAGACTTTTTGGCATGTTAGGTAAAAGTATAAACAGTTACTGACACATATCTGGTCTTCCAAAGATTCCTCGCTCTGTTTGCAGTGAGAGCTGTGGTCCTGGATTCAGGAAATCCCCTCAGGAGGGAAAGGCTGCCTGTTGTTTTGACTGCACGTCCTGCTCAGAGAATGAGATTGCTAATGGGACAGGTAAGTTCATGACCTAGGGAAAAATTTATACTGTCTCCTACTTGCCCCCAATCCAGACAATAAAAAATTGTGTTAGAATTTAATTCAAAGTCTACTTTCATTCAATTAGTAATTTGTGATAATGGATGATAGTGCTCCTTTATTAAACACAAATCATGGGTTATGAATTATATACAGGATTGTTTTCTAGTCTCTTGTATGCATGGCTATTTAACTACTTAGTAATGTAAGTTTAACTTCTATCATATTAAGTGCAAAGATTTTTTAAAGACAGGGTCCTCATCTTCTTCAAAATTACCTTCAGATTACAAAGAAAACACAGATCTTGCACATCTATTTCCTAGTATCCCAGAACTGTTCCTCCAGCAAAGCAAGTGCTCTGGATTGGGTTTGGTACAAGAAACAGGCATAAGTGGTGTACATAGCACAACTGCAGAGCTTAAAGACTGATTTGATTTTCTGGTCCCCACTTCCTTACAGATGAATAGGAGAGACAAATATAACAACTATAAGAAAGGGCCATTGGGGCCCTATTTATATTGCACAGGGACATCAAACTTTATTATCCACAATTTTGAATGAGGGCTTGGAATTGTAAACACAAGGCTCAGAATTATTATGGCAGCATTTTTATGGTGCTGAACATTGTTGTTAGGATATTAGAAATGTCAAGATATATAATATGTGTGATAGTCACTGTGGGTTTAAAAAAGGTTTAATGAGACTGAAAAAAGAGAATGTGGGAATGAGTGTGGGAAGATGATAAATACATAAAAAATAATACTGAATGTATTTGATAATACTTGATAATATTTAGTTTTATGTTAGAATTATATCTAAGTAGGGATTTTCTAATTTCCTTTTAAGAACTGAAAAGGGACCAATGTTTATTTGGCTTCTTCTCCAGATATGGAGCAGTGTGTGAAGTGTCCAGATCATCAGTATGCCAATACAGAGAGAAACCAGTGCCTCCTAAGAGTTGCAAGTTTCTTGGCTTATGGAGAACCCTTGGGGATGGTCCTAGCCTGCATGGCTCTTGGTTTATCTACACTCACAGCAGTTGTTCTTGGGGTCTTTGTGAAACATCAGAACACCCCTGTTGTCAAGGCCAATAATCAGGCCCTCAGCTATATCCTGCTCACCTCCCTCATCTTCTGTTTCCTCTGTTCCTTGCTCTTTATTGGCCGACCCAACATAGTGACCTGCATTCTGCAGCAGACAACATTTGGAGTTGCATTCACTGTAGCAGTTTCCACTGTCTTAGCCAAAACTGTAACTGGGGTTCTGGCCTTCAAGATCAGTTACCTAATGAGAAGGATGAGGTGGCTGCTGGTATCAGGAGCTCCTAAGTTCATTATTCCCATCTGTACACTCATCCAGTTGACTCTCTGTGTACTCTGACTGGGGATTTCTCCTCCCTTCCTTGACACAGATACACAATCAGAACATGGCCATGTCATCATCCTGTGCAACAAAGGTTCCCTCATTGCCTTCTACTGTGTTCTGGGATATCTGGGCTCCCTGGCCCTGGCCATCTTCACAGTGGCCTTTCTGGCCAGGAACCTGCCTGACACCTTCAATGAAGCCAAGTTCCTGACCTTCAGCATGCTAGTGTTCTGCAGTGTGTGGCTCACCTTCCTGCCTGTCTACCACAGTGCCAAGGGGAAGGTCATGGTGGCTGTGGAGGTCTTTTCCATCTTGGCCTCCAGTATGGGGCTCTTGGGCTGCATCTTTGCTCCTAAGTGCTACATCATCTTGTTAAGGCCAGAGAGAAATTTTCTGCATGGCTTCAGGGACAAAATACATACTGGGAGAAATAAGTCCTCCTAAGATGAAACTTGTATGTTCAGTCAAATGTACAGAAGAAGGTCTAGATTAAATCTAAGCTCCTTTTCCCATTAGATATTAACTTATATTGTTTGGATCACTTCATCACTTCAATGAAGAAGTAAGTGATTGTTACCCATGTATCTAGTAATGGTAATGATACAGTTACAAGTTGTAGCCAAACCAGTTAAACTTGAATTTTATTCTGTATATGTCTGGTTCTTCCTATTACCTCTGCATTTAATTCCATCCTTTCCACCAGTATATTTTCACTGTTGACCTGGGTGTAATTTTGCTTTCTAAATCATTTGTCTAAAAGTTTTTTTGTGCCATTCATAGGGCTTTCATTTAAAGCTTGGGTACTGTCCCTGAGTTATTTTGCTCAAGGCAATCCTTCACTTTACCACTTGAACCACAGCTTCACTTTTGGCTCTTTGGTGGTAAGATTCTCATGGAATTTTCTCTCAGGTTGACTTCAAACTGTGATCCCAATATCTCAACTTCCTGAGTAGCTAAGATTGTAGGTATTTTTCTATATTTTAAAGTATATTTACTTCCTGCCTTCACTGTTATCCTCAAATAAATTTCATTAATATTTTTCTCTTAACAAGGTTCTATGTTTTATATACTCTAGAGTTTAATAGTTGCTAATAGCTATATAATCATTTTTACACATCTTCCTTTTGCAATATTCCTCAATATGTTTCATTAGATCTCTTCACATTCTCTTTCTATTCCCTCTCTTTTCTTTCATCCTTCTTCTTCCTCTTCCCTCTGTTTTTTTTTACTGTGAAAATACCGTACAGAGGGGTTACAATTACATGAGCAAGGTAATGATTACATTTCTTATCAAGCATTGTTGCCTCCTCCTTTGTTTCCCTTTTCCATCCCTTCCCATCTCCCCTCCCTGACTCCCCAATCAGCCCCCCACGCCAAAGTTGTAAAGTTCACTTTTTGACATAATGTCTTGTATATCCCATTGTTGCAATGGATCCAACTGTATTCCTATTTAAACAATTTGTTTTTTTCTCTTCTCCTCCACAAATTATACCAACATCAAATACAGTGAAAACAGAGGTTATACCATGGGAGAGGGACATACAAATCAACAAAGAAATCATCTTATAAATATATTAGAAACAATAGCAAGAATAAAAAACATTTGAGTCCTTATCTTGGAGTTCATTTCACCTAACATCAACTTATCTGACCATTTCTGCTTGTCTCAGACATATACTTGTAATTGCAAATAAGGGAAACCAGATCCAAAGAAACATAGGTCCCACTGTTTCCCTCTCTGTTTTCTGTTTATTATTTTAGTATTTCAACAATGCGTTGTATATTCTACAGAAATACCCTTTAGATGTATATCAAAATGTATTAGATTTGGAATAACAGTTGATGAAAGTAGTTTTATAATAGTTTGTTCATCCATGACTGTCGATATTTTCAACTTATTATTGTTTAATCACATTGAATTATTATACATACAAATATGTATACATTAGATACATGTATTTTTGTTATCAATTTTATACACATTTATTACTAACATGTTACATTTCCAATATTTTAATCTTTAAGAAATCCATTATTTATTATTTTAAATAGACTGAATTATTGGGTTCTATATCATTTTTTAAAATACATGACTATCTAGGACATATGGCCACATAATTGCAATTCTATCTGCTCTCTTCTATTGTTCATTGCATCTTTTTTCTGACACTTGTATTTCTAATAGATGAGTTAGTACATACTGACAATGATCTTCTTTTAATTGGAAATACAATGAAGTTTTGGCAAAAAAACAACACTGTACTTTGTTTCTTTTAATGGTATATTAGTTTTCAAATATTTCCAAATCCTTAATATTTTATCAGGAGGTGGTCAAAATATTTGTTTCTACTGAAGTTCATTTTTTATCTTTCTTCTTGGTTTTTGTACTTTCATCAATAAGGTAGGATTATTATGGCTAAGTAAAACACTAACTGCCCATTCAGTGGTAATGAATTACCACTAATCATGATATATAAGCTCCTCAGTATCCACTATGCAATTAGAGTGCATGTTGGCCATAAGGAAAGGAGCAGATGATCACATCTCAGTAACAAAAAGAGACCAGAGATAGTCCTTAAGACATCTTGTTATGTTTCACAAACATTATAGTCAATTGTAGAGCTGAAATTCTGATGTTGGTGATTATAATAAAGCATTAAAAAGATGACATTCAAAGTCCTACTACTCACTTAAATCAGGGGTCATGAGATGAGCAGGCCACTCAAACTGATAGGGAAGTACATATTAAAGTACATAGAATATTTTGGGATTCACTGACAGAGGCAGAGATGTGGGTGGTATGAGTCCCTTCAGAGCTCCATAATGGGATGATGTGTCCCCAGGCTTTTGATCACCTTATCTTTATGTAAGACACAAAATGAGAGTGAAACACTGTTACCACCATGGTAAAATAATGTCACATACTTTTACTTTATAATTCTTCCTGGAAGGATATGGAAAGCCATATTCTCATGAACACAGGGAAAAGCAACAGGAATAAAAATCAACAACTCATTCTGATGCAGAGAATTAAGATCAAACACAATCCATAGTATCTGGGAGCTGATAAAAGGAAGACTCAATCAGCCGGGCACTGGTGGCTCACACCTGTAATCCTAGCTACTCAGGGAGCTGAGATCTGAGGATCGTGGTTCAAAGCCAACCAGGGCAGCAAAGTCCGTGAGACTCTTATCTCTAATAAACCACTCGAAAACCAGAAGTGGCGCTGTGGCTCAAGTGGTAGAGTTCTCGCCTTGAGCTGAAGCGCTGAGGGACAGTGCCCAAGCCCAAAGTTCAAGCCCCATGACCAACCAAAAAAAAGGGGGGGGGGGAGAAGACTCAATCAGGTGCTGGAGGCTCATGCCTGTAATTCTAGTTAGTCGGGAGGTTGAGAACTGAGGATCATGGTTCAAAGCCAGCCTGGAAAGGAAAGTCCATGAGACTCATCTCCAATTAACTACTAGAAAACCAGAAGCGGAGCTGTGGCTCAAGGTAGTAGAGTGCTAGCCTAGAGCAAAAAAAAGAGCCGAGGAATTACATCTTGTGTTCAAGCCCCACCACTGCCAGAAAATGACTCAGAGAAGCATTAAGTTCCTCAGCTGAAATCCCTAAAAATAAAGGTAGGAACATCTAATGTGATGAACTGAAGAAGGCAGAGAGAAAACAAATTTCAAAACACTCCAGGAGGCTTGGTGGTACTTCTCGTAGACTATACAATCGACAAGACCCATACCAGAGGGTAGTGGGTGTTGAAGTTCTATGGATACTGGGCTGTTTGCTGCAGAACTCCTGAGATTGTTGATTGTATATCATTACTCTAGTTGTTTGGTACTAAGCTTATGTCCTCTGATATGAGCTGGAGGACTACTGCATAACTAAAGCTCACTCAGCATTTGCTGCTTCTCATCCAGGTCTTCAAAGTAGAAGAAAAAGTCAAAACATTTCCTGTCAGAACAGTACTTAATATAGCATATTTCAGAACAAGAGTTTTCAGTACTTTCTCAATTGACAGTGGTGTGCTTTTTCATGTGCCTATTTCTTGATTGGATTGTATTACTGGTGTTTAACATTTACAATTGTTTTATACCATATTAATCTCTGCCAGATATAAGACTGGTGAAGATTTTTCAACCTTTTACTTATATCTCTTCACTGCGTTAATTTTTTTCCTCCCAGAAACATGGAAACTTTTAGGAATCATAGTTGTAAATTTTATTTCTAGTGCTTGGAGTGCAATCCAACACCTCTTGAAAGACACAAAGGATTCTCCCACCAAGCCACAGCCAGAACTTAATTCTTGCTATAATTTTCTGCAGTATTTGAATCCAATTGAGGGAGTTACATATTCCTATATTTTGAAGTGCTTCTTTTTTGTTTCATAGTACTTTCAAGGATTCAGTGTCATATGTAGAATTAATATTTTGATCAAATGTGCCATATATTTTTTTAATGTGCAAGTACTGGGGTTTGAACTCAGTGCCTAGACTTTATCCATTAGCTCTTGCACTCAAGGCTGGAAGTTTACCACTTGAGCCACAACATTTAGTACTTAATTGGAAGTAAGAGTCCCCTGACACATGTCTGGGATGGCTTCACACCATGATCATCAGATCTCAGCGTCCTGAGAAGCTAGGAATATAGAAGTGAGCCATTGGTACCTAGACTAAAATATCAGCCTTTTGATTAGTTAATAAAGTCTGGCATAGTTAATCAACATATGATACCTAGATTATCCAGTGCCACCATCTGTGAAGGAGGCTATCCTCCAGTAATCTATGCATTAGCAGCTTTTCCATAACCCAGATTAGTGTAACTGTTTGGAATTATTTCTAGATTTTTTCTTTTTGATTTCTGGGTTGTTCTTTTCTATTTCTGTGTATATTTTATGCTATACATTATGTAATTAGGGTTCTTTAGTATAATTGAAAACAGGTTTTGGGATATTTTGACCTCGCTCTTTTGTCATATGTTAGCTTTGGCTAATTGGGATTTTCTTTTTCTACATGAGTTTTTGGCTTCTCTTTTCTATTTATGTGAATGTGATAGGAATTTTGAAGAGGATTACATCTACAGAGATGCATTTACAGAGATGGACATATGAGGAAAAAAGTATGCAATACAGATAAAGAGGAAGTATAGGCAAATTGAAGGTACGACAAATATTATTCAGAGCAAATAAAATCAAACACTTAACCTAGACAAAACAATTTAAAAAGAAAGAAACATAATATTGCTGTGAAGATCTCTTTTTGGCTGAAATACAGGGGATCAAAATGGTTTGCTTTTATTCTAGTATTGTGCCTTTTCTATTTCTTGCTCTGGGAGGCACTAGGGGAGGTCTGCAACATTTTCTTCCAGAAATCCAAAGAGGTAAGTCCAGAAAAGTCAGTTCCCCCACTGAACCCCACCTTGACACTCAATGTATGAGCAGAAGAGTGGCATGA